CTGCAGTTTGTGATCATATCCTAGAGGGCCCCAACCATTACATCAGATTTGATAGACCACAAATCCTCGCGAAAGAACACCGATTCCTACCAAGGATGTTACGTGAGGCAATTGAAATTAAAAAACATCCTAATTTCAATAGAGAAGGAGATAGGCTGGGTACTACCACCTGCTTGGGATCCTATAATCAATAAAATTAAAACTAAACCCAAGCATACCACTGCAAGACCTCAGGACATAGTCAGTTCATTTTGCATAGATCGGACCATAAACAATAATTAAAAAAGCTGAAGGTTCTCCGGGTTTAACAATGACATCGGGACGTCAGTCATCTCAGTCCCCCGTGACCACGGGTGCTGGAAAGCGCCCGAAACGTCGGGAATTAAAAATAAAAAGTAAAAATAAACGCGATAAAATCCGTAAAAGTAGTTTGAATCATGTGCAATGTTCGCGTAAATATAAGAAATCATTATTTTCAATGAAATTTTATTTAGGTGTAGGTATATGTAAGTAAGAAAACCACAAGAAGCATATTTCTGATTAATGATTAATTAGATGTGTTATGCAATTATTATTCACACCCTGTTTTTAAACCTTGAACTTACGTTTTTACTGCATAATCCTTTCCGCCGTTACGCTAAAATAAAGGTTATTTTATATTATTTATAAAATTTTAAATTATCATTAAGTACTCAATAAAACGATAGTATAAATATTCAAGCTGAGTACGACCACGTAGTACAAAGTCGGTTACAATACAATTAAACCTATCTAGGTACAGTGTTGGTGTTTCATTTACCTTTTTGCTTTTTCCCCGTCCGTTTCTGTCTAGATATTTACATAGTCTTTTTCCTTGCCTTATCTGGTTCCACCACATTTAGACCAAAACTGTTTTCACTCATTTTGTTCAGAATAATTAAATAAAAACTACGGGGGGCAAAGTGTTTTGCTTCCGATAACTCATGCGAATAGCAGCCATATTTGCGCTATACTCTGCTCTGATTGGCCGGTGCGGACATGCTTGATATTGATAAACACTTGTCAAAGGACTTACCGGGATATGAAAAAAAATCGTCGGTTTTGACCGTTATTTTCATAGAGTTTTAATTGACTTACCTCATTTCGGTGAAAACGAACTTATAAAGATTTAAATGTTAAATTTGGCGCCATTAATAGTTTAATTTTGAGTAGTGGTGGGACTTACCGGATTTCGATTCTTATTTCACATACCGTTTTTCTTTCTTCTCTTTCAAAAACCATCACTTTCGTCTTACTTGCGTTCACTTTCATTCCCCTTTCTTTTAATTCCCAGTTCATTAATGTAACCATCATTTGCAACTCAGCCGCCGATGACGCAAATATGACTTGATCATCGGCATACAAAAGGCATTTGACGGTTAACTCGCCCATTCTTAACCCACATTCTTCATCTTTCAAAGTTTGCAAACACCTGTCCATAAATAGGTTGAACAGTCACGGGGAGCCATCACACAGCCCTGTCTGACATCTTTATGGATGCCAAACAGTCCGAGTAGGCCCTGTTGATCCTAACACAAGCACTAGAGTCCCTATAAAGAGACCTTAATGCCTGTATCAAACCAACGCTCAACCCATATGAGTTCAGTGTTTGCCATAACACATTCCTGTCCACTCTGTCATAAGCCTTTTCCAAGTCCATGAACGCACAAAAAACTTTCTGGTTTTTGGCCAAAAACTTCTCCGCAATCATGCGCATGGAAAAGACTTGATCTGTACACCCCATTCCCTTTCTAAAACCCGCTTGCACATCCCAAATTTTTCCATCAGTTTCTTTCATAACTCTTTCAATTAACACCTTAGCATACAGTTTACCCACAATACTAAGCAAGCTGATACCACGGTAGTTTTTGCAGTCCCGCTGTGACCCTTTTACTTTATATATTGATACTATAACTGCTTTACACCAGTCATCCGGTACACATTTTAATTCCCAACATAAATTAAACAAGGTGTACAGCAGGCCTGCCACCACTCCCTCTCCAGCCCTTAGCATCTCGAGTGATACTCTATCATATCCAGCTGCCTTACCTGCTTTCATGCTTTTCATTGCTTTCATTATTTCATCTACACTTATCTCCATACCTGACCCTTTCCACTTCTTTCGGAATTTCTAATTCATTTAATTCAGACGACTCTTCACTCATAAACACGCTTTCAAAGTATTCCTTCCATCTGTTTAAATTCGAAACTTCATCATTCAGAATACATCCATTCTCGTCTCTTATAGCATTCATTATAGGCTGTTTTGTATTTCCCCTGGCAGTTCCTACGAGTTTCCAGAACATTTTTATGTTAGCCTGGAAATTATCAGATATCCTTCTATCATTCTTATCCGTTCTTTCTTTCTTTTTCCTTTCAACAACTTCTTTTTTTACTCTCTTATTTAGACGTCTAAATTCTGCCTTTTTTCTTTCAATCTCATCATTCATACCAGAAGAATTACCAGCGTTGGTTGCTAGTAAATCTAACCACGCTTTCTTCTTTGATTCAACTTCCACCCGTACCTCATCATCTCACCACAACGTATTACTTTTCCTTTCATTTGTTCTCTTACTTACACCACATACTTCGGTGGCGGCATCCACCAAACCTTTCTTAATATTATCCCACACAGTATTCAAGTCTAAATCATTCATACACAACTCATTCAAACATCTAATATTTCCTCTCAGTCTACATTTATACTTCTCTTTCACATCTTCATCTTGTAACTTCTCTATTCTTATACGCTGTAACGCAGTGGTAGACACAGATGTCCGATGCCGCCAACGCTTGAAAAGACCATTAATTCGACATAAGACCAAGTAATGATCCGTCCCTACGTTGGACCCCCGGTAAACCCTTGTATCTACGACTGCGCTCCTCATTCTTTCATCCACAATTACGATATCTATCATGCTTCTATCGTCACCTCTTTCCCATGTATACATGTGAATCTTCTTATGACGAAAAAAAGTATTCGTCACAAAAAAGATTCTTTTCCACACATACGGTGAGAAGGTCTTCACCATTTTTTATACTTTCATCACCAAACGTTCCCAATATCCTTTCATAACCAGACCTCTTCACCCCAACCCTTCCATTAAAGTCTCCTAACACAATAATATTTTCATTTTCCTTACATTTTGTCAACACCATCCTTACCATGTCCCAAAACTGCTCTCGGATATAAGTGGGCTTAGACATGTCTGGGGCGTACACCCCTAGCAGGAACAGCTTCTTTAAGCCCACTTTCATTCGTATCCATAGCAGCCTCGGGCTTACACATTCATACTCTATCACACATTGACCCATTCTTTCTGAAAGGATGAAACCGACTCCCTGGCATGCCCGTTCGGTCTCGTCTACACCAGACCAATACGCGGTATATGTGCCATGTGCAGTGGCATCCTTTCCCTTTCGTTTCGTCTCATTCACACATAACACATCTATTCCTCTGTCATTCATCATTTCGCATACTTCATCCATCTTATCATTCATTCCTCCACATACATTCAGCGTAGCCAGACGGGTTTCCGCAATCCACTTTTCGCCCCTCCGGGAGACAGAACGTGACGGGTGGCGAACCTCGTCGCCGGTTTTTCTCCCGGAGATTCTTCGCACCCCTGCCCCATTAAAGGGGCGCCGGGAACTCGGGGCCATTTCTTTTATTTTCTGAGTCATGATGCGAACAAGGGGTGGTGGTAGATTTTACGCCGCTACCATACGGCGAGGAGCCGAGTCTATTTTTTCGGCTTTGTCGCTCGTTTAGCACCACCCGGGGGACACGTGTAGGGTGGGCCTAAGGTTAGGTACACCCGATGTAGAAATGAGAATAACTATCAGTGATATTTTCAGGGTAGATATGTAATAAATTTCTCTTCCTCATTGATAGAATCGCTAGACGCCTACAACAGATGCAACAAAAAGTTTTCATTTTTGAGGAAAATTAGTGATTTGTACTATTTGAACTATGTAGTACGGAAAAAGCCATTTTCTTTGAAGAAATGTTTTCTTATGATTAAGAGACTGATTTTGTTCAAGAATGCATACGTTTTCAATGCCACCTTTCTTCTGAAAGAATTTTAGTGAAACCTGATTCTGCATCGTTGGAAAGTTCTTTCTGGCAAAAAAAGAATTAGCAAAACGTGTATCCAAACTTTGATGTAGCAGTTCGTATGGCTTTATGTACACCAACGACAAATTGTTCGAGTGAGAGAAGCCTTTCTGGCTTAAAAGGGATGAAATCTAAGATCTACCATAAGTCAAAAAGAGCTAAACACCTTAGGGCTTCTGTGCATTGAGTTAGCTAGTGAGCAAGGTTTGATACGACTATATGATTGATGATTTTACGAATAAAAAATCGCTTAAGGCGGTATTGCAAAACGCACGACGCAGGGCTTCGTCGACCTGGCTTCCCTCGACTGCGCTACGATGAGTGGCGTGGTGCTTCCCTCCCCCAACTCTCTCTCTCGTATTATTTTTGTATCACATTCAATAAACCCAAAAAACAGAAAGCGTCTATCTTGCACTTTAAACAAGGCATTGATGAGCATGGCGATTGTATTGCATTCAAACCAACGAAATATATGTGAATGAATAAATCCATGTTTAAAGATGAAAAAAAAATGGAGAATTTGATGTTGACTTCAATTTTTAATTTTAATTTAATAAAAATATAGCATTTTAAATGCCTATTTTTACTTTTCAAAGTTACTATTTGTAAATAAAGTTACTGTTAGTTACTGTCTGTAGTACTAAGAAATTCAGGACTTCATAGGCGTGATTTTTACTGACAGCTGTCGCAGAGATCAAGCTATCTTTTATGAACCATAGGCGTTTTTCGCTACAGACTTTGGCAGGTTTTTAACCATAGTAAGGCAGGATCTGTATTTTAAATATGGTCACACCGATATAGACTATTTTACATTTGGCTAGCTATACATATATTTTGATTTATTTATCTATGGTTTAGTTAGAAAATGTCATTCAAAAAGTCGAATTTAGATGTTTATTTGGCGGAAGTTTTTAAGCAGTTCGTCACAATCAAAGATGATGATTTTAAAAGAGCTCAAGAGGTGTTCAACAGTGTATTTAAGCAGGTCAAGCAAAAGATGGGAGAACAGTGTAATTTTTTCAATAAATATAGCAGCCAGGTATATTCCCTACCTACCATTTCTATTAGTTCTTAGAATTTTAATAATATTTATTCCTTAATAACAGCCTATCAAATTCCACTGCTGAACATAGCCTTTTGCCACATTTTGCTATAGTTGACATGCTTGTTTTAGCTTGGCAGGTCGGCTACCGCAGTTTTTCACTTTTCTTAGACTGCAAAAAAAAAACCTTGTGATATGCGTTTTTCGTAAGTTCTATAATTTCAGTATGATTTTGTTAATTGATGAGCCATGGTAGCTTAGATGGTTAACGCTCGCTGTAATATAACAGAACGCGAGTAACCCGGGTTCGATCCCCGCCGGCACCAATGAAATTGTTAATTGCAATTTTAAGTGCTGATTTACCACGTGTTCGGCGGTGAAGGAAAACATCGTGAGAAAACCTGCATGTCTGAGGAATAAGACAAAATATATTTCTAAGACATGTGAAGTTCGCCAACACGCATTGGGGCAGCACGGCGGACACTTCCTTGCCCTAAAACCCTCTCAGAAATGAGGGGAGGTCTGTGCTCAGCAGTGGGACGTATATAGACTGTAACATTACATTACATTACATTTGTTAATTTGTAAGCAAAGATGCGTTCTGAGATTCCTTCATATTTTAATGATATTGAAATTTATTTTTGCCATTGAGAAAAGAAAATAAGTAACTACTTAATGTACTAATTACTACTGTAATGTACGCCTAACTAATTTATATTTTTCAATAGGTGATGTACAGCGGAAGTGTTTACGATGGTGTCAAAGTCTCCAAACTAGATGAATTTGATATGGATATTGTTATTCGTCTACCCATTAGCTATGAGGAGGGAGAGAATGGTATCATCATTGAGAATGACCAGCCTGGCTTTGTCAGGCTTAAAATTATCAATGCATTTGACCATATGGACAAGCAGCCAGACTGGGAAAAGTGTCACAAAGTGACAAGAGACTGGCGTGACTCCGAGAAATATTTCCTACAAAATAAATTCCGTCATTGGCTCCACAGTATTGTCCAGAAAGCTCTCAATGAAATGCAGGAGAGAGCTACTGTGAATGGTGTAACTTATTCAGTGAAATACAAAGAGTCAGGGCCAGCTTTCACATTGAACATACGTAATGAGAAGGGTGATGAAGAATTTAAACTTGATGTAGATTTGGTGCCAGTTATTAGGTTTATGTATCCTCGGTGGCCTCCTGGATACAGGTTAGATCTAAATTCCCTAATTATAGTTTGTTAAGGCTGTGGTAGCCCAAAGGATATTATTATTATTATTTATACATAAACACACTAGCAGCTAAAAAAGTTTGGAGATTTTATCCAATCTGTTCTTGAAGGCATTCAATGTAGGAGCATCAATCACATTTTGTGGTAGCTTATTCCACTTGGTCTTGTGAAGAATTTACTATAGAAATGATCCTATGCAGTAAGCATGGAGCCGTGGTAGCTCAGATGTTTAACGCTCTCTGTAAATATAACAGATCGCGAGTAACCTAGGTTCGATCCCCGCCGGCACCAATGAAATTTGTAATAGCAATTTTAAATGCTGATTTACCACATGCTCGGCGGTGAAGGAAAACAACGTGAGGAAACCTGCATGTGCGAGGAATAAGAAAAAAAATATTTCGAATACATGTGAAGTTTGCCAACATGCATTGAGGCTGCGCGACGGACACTTCCTTGCCTTAAAACCCTCTCAGAAATGAGGGGTGGCCTGTGCCCAGCAGTGAGACGTATATAGGCTGTAACTTTACTTTTACTTTTATTCCACTTGTGACAACACGATTTGTTATAAAATTCTTCATAGGATTCCGCTTGGCAGTCCTAAGGCAAAGTTTAAATTGATGTCCTCTCAGACATTTGTTGCTACTTAGTAAGTACAAATTTGGCAGAGTAGGAACATTGTAATATCCTGTCAGTATTTTGTATGTTTCAATCAGACTACCTCTCTGCCTACTGCTCTCTAGTGTTGTGAGGTTAAGCTTTCTCATTCGCTGCTCATATGTCATGTTCCACAGTTGTTTTACCATTTTTGTGGTCCTCCGTTGAACATTTTCCAGTAGTAATATATCTTTAAGAAAATACGGGTCCCATATCACATATGCAAACTCCAAAAGAGGTCTTAAGAACATTCGGTAGATCTTGTTAAATATTTTAGGAGTGAGGCACATAAAGCTTCTTCCAATCATATACATCATGGAGTTTGCCTTTTTTACTATGTTAAGGATATGAGTTTCCCATTTGAGGTCACTGGTTATTGTAATACCAAGGTCTTTCTGTGATTCAACAGAAGACAATGGGATAATAGATAGGTAGATAATAGATAGATAATAATAATAATAATCTTTATTTGCAAGAATATGGTTGTACAATGGTGTTTGAGTATAATTCGTTCTACATATTCTACCTTAGTGGTGTGCAAATATTAATGGTCAAGTAACCTAAACAACAATACTTATCGAATTTAACAACATATATTAATTTAACAAAATATAAAATTATTTAATATTATTTACTTGATTTGATAATTAGTTTATTATGCCACAGTGTCAGAAAAAATATAATAAGTATTATTATGTCAAGTAAGATTATTATTATAGGTCAATGTCATATATTAATTATTATTCTTACGTCAATAATTATATAATGTTACATATCCAATTGTCAATTAATATCTTTCTATTTTTACATCAAATTTATTAATTAATTAAATACATAAGTCAAATTTTATATAAAATAATATCAAAAACATTATTTTTTTTAAATATCAGAATCTTGTAATTACGTAATTAATCCTATTCTAAAATTATCATTCATTATTACTCGTATGTAGGTCGTTGTCGTTTAAGAACTCTTCAACAGAATAATAACATTTACAGAGCAACAATGCCAAAACAGATTTCTTAAATGACAATAAACTTTTACGCTTTAAATTATCATGTAATTTATTATAAATTCTAATCGACATTGCAGAAGCATTTCTTTTTGTCAAAAAATAGGCCAAAAAAAATCCTTTTACAACAAAATAAAAAAAAGAACACTTAAAGACAAGAAAAACCCCCCGAGAGGCCAAAAAAAAAACCGACAAAGAAACAAAACCCAACCCCAAAGAAAAATTAAAAAAAAAGAAAAGGAATGATGACTGAAATAAAAAAAAAAATAAAAAAATTCTCACTATAAGTGCTAATTTGCCATAGGTTTGATTGTAAAGGATATATGATGGGGACACCTACATACCAGAGAACTCATTTAAATAGTTGTAAAAGAAATTAATAATATGATACTTTAAAAAAATGCAGTTGAACTGATGCCTCCTTTTATAAAGTCAATAGAGTTTTATTGAATTCTACCTTCTGTGTAGCTTACATAATAGTGGTGCACTTTCATTCCTCATTAAAACTTCTTCCTTGCACAACTTTTATGTGGAATTTGTTATCACCAGCAATTTTCTCAAAGCCCTTCAAGAAAAAAAATTAATATATAAAATTAATAATCAACCTTGTCTTCAGGGTTCAATGTATCTTCCCAACCGAAGTCTCCACAGTGATCGAGTCACTTAAGAACGATTTGATAGTTGTACCCCTATTAATAAAAACTATTAAAAATATTATACTAGAACCTTGTCGCACATAATTAATTTAAGTTTAGCAAGTGAAACCTTTCCTGAAAAATGGAAATTAGCAATTGTCAGTCCAATTCACATAACTGGTTCCAAAATAACCCAAATAGCTTTAAACTAATATCTCTTTTGTGTATTTTCTCAAAGATATTAGAAAAAGTGGTTAACAAATGTCTTGTTAATTACATTGAAAAACACAATATTCTTGCTCAAAGATCTACGGAGAATGCTGTAGTTTTGTTAACAGATCACAGGGAAGTATTTTGGGACTGAGCCTGTTTGCTATCTACATGAATGACATCCTTAATTTAAATATTAATAATGCGGAACTAATCTGTTTCGCAGACAACACAGTAGTGCTCTTTCATGTTCGCAGGTGGACAGAAGTGCATAAATGGGCTGAACATGGTTTGCGCGTATAACACAATGGATGGCATGAACCTCCTCACTCTTGAATACCGCTAAGTCTAAATACATAGCGTTTCACAAGACTCAGATTTCTAGACCTTCTTCTTTTGTCAGTTTAAAAGTTCATAGATGCAGAACACCATGTTCCTTTTGTGGTGCCCTATCTTATACATGCTCAACGTGCGATTGCCAATGCAATGGAAACAATAAAATATTTAGGGATAGTAGTCGACCAAAAGCTATCGTTCAGTCCACATATAACTCTGCTCTCTGCTTGAGTTCAAATTCTAATTCTAATTTATGTATTCGAACTAGTATGTAACAGTACTAACATAAATATTCTCAAAATACTAATTTGGACTTTGCAGGACGATTCACGGGAGTCAAGTAAAAGATTGGCTAGTCGTGCCCAAACCAATTAAGAATATCTCAAATGAGACCGTCAAAAGTAGATGCTGGCGTCTGTCGTTTCAAGATTATGAACGGGAGCTGCTTAAAGAATGTCATCATTTGAAAACGATTATAAAACTGGTGAGTTTTACTGCTGATTAATCACTGTTTAGTAAGTGTGACAAATTAACACACAGTCCAGTGCCAGTAAACACCCAGACAGCACACTGTCTCTTAGTTTCAGGATCATAACAAGAAATCCAGTTTTCGTCACCCGTAAATATGTCGAACACAGCATTTGAATCACCTCCGTTAAATCTTTGAACCATGTCACGGCACCGATCAACATGACGGAGTTTTTGGGTCTCTGTCAAATTATGAGGTATCCATCGGGCACAATGCTTCCTGACCGCTAAATGTTTCATGGAGGATTTTGTGCACTTGAATCATACCGATGCCTAAGCTTGTCGGAATCTGCTGATAAGTCACTCTTTTGTCTCTATCATACGCCGCACAACATTGATGTTATCTTCAGTCTTCGGCCGTCCCTCACGCCGATCATCGGTGAGATTAGTGCGACCATGTTTAAACTCATTAAAGCAGTTGTAAACAGTGGCATGAGATGGGGAAGTCTATCATAACTCTTTGGTTGACTTAAATGACATCGAAAGTCATATAAAATCATTGTACTAAAATTTTCTCGCGCTAAATTCATGCTGACGTGACACAGACAATTTTCAATTTGTCGCGTAAACAAATGACAAATTAATGGGTGCGTTTGGCAGAAAAAAGCGCTAGCAAGCGCTTGTAAGCAAAATGGCGATCGTAAGCGGTAAGCGCTGTCAAATCGTAAGTAGCTATTTTCCTCTAGGACACGAAGTCAGTTTTAACCGGGGAACCTAACCTAATTTAAATATATGTTTGTAAAGTATTCATATTAAAAACTTACCAATCATGAATTTTTAATAACATCTATATGTCTATTCATGTCATTATATTACTTAAAACTAATATTGCAAAAAACAACTTATAAACTCTACTTCAAAACAAACAAATTAAATAAGCAAAATGGCGGATTGTGTCAGCGCTACTGAAGTATAACTGCCGACATAAGTCGTGAGCACACTTTTTATTGGTCGATACGACGTTGACCACGCTGACGTTCAACGTGATTGGTTCATTAGTCGATTCTCGTCGTCTATTAGTTTCGAACGTATCATTCGGCTTCCGTACACTTCAGAGCAATAATTTTAATGATAACTTTTTTAATAAGTTTCTTTTCGTTAATTGTTTTTGTCAGCTCGTTGTTAATTGTTGTTTGTGTATTCCTTGTTATTAATTGTTTTTGTTATTTCTTGTTTTTAATTATTTTTGTTGTTATAATTTGAGTGTTCAGATTTTGGTCTAAATATGCAGAGAAGGAAGAATTCGGTGTTAAATAGACAATTCCGACAAATTTTCTATTCAGTGTTTAGTTACATGAAAAAATCAGGTACTGCGAAAAACATCATAGACGTATATAAACAGACTGCTGAGGCGACTAATGTCTCAGTAGCTACTGTACGGCGCACCGCAACACCAGATTTTATGGAAGACATATCACCTCTTCCTTCTTCTTAATAAATTAATCAATTCTAACCACCAGGTATACATTAAATACTTTATAGTAGATAATAAAATAACGGACATGAATATCTGCAACATTACTGTATCAAAGTAAAAGTTGATGTGTTCGAGTAAACATTTTCATAAAAGTCGCCGAAAATATTAAATTACGAATTGAAATAATAAAGGTATCCAATAATTTTGCCCGACAGTGTACCTACCTCCCACCACAGTTTATCTGTGCTCACCACTCGTTTTGGCAACTATAGCAATCGTGTCCTGGCCGAAAACTATTTCAGCGCTTGTAAGCGCTTGCTAGCGCTTTTGTCTGCTAAACGCACCCAATAAAATACATACACAATAATATTGGCAAAGAGTTCCATTTTAAAAATTTAAACTATTTTTAAATTATATCTTTTACAAGTGGCCAGTTCTAAAAACTCAGTGTGGCCCTCGTAAAATGAGGTGGAATATTTAACATGTCGATGGGGAAGTTAATTTGTTCGAAAATTCTAAAGCTTAATGTTTCTTTCTGTAACATTAGTTATATTATATATTAATTAGATTAAAAATAAATGAACCAAACCACAAATATACATAAAAATAGAAAGATCAAAAAAATTGTTAAAGATGTGCAAAAATTTAAACAACAAAGCACAGAGGCATTGTTTTATGTATTAATATAATACTCTAGAAAAAAAAATGGCATTGTGTAACAAAAAACTTCACCTCAGTGTCAATTATTAAGCGTATTATTAGCCCTCATTGGATATGGAATTAATAATGACGGTAAACGTTAACTCGGGTGGCAGTTTTTACGATACATCAAAGGGTTTTAGCGCGTTAATAGATGGCATCACCGGCGTTGGCTACATTAACACGGCTCATTTCGCGCACCGCACGCGCCCTGTAAGCAAGTGTATCGAGCACATCTATTTTAGTCATAATCATAGAGTGGTCAATCGAAAAGGCAATGGAGTTTCTAGAATGAAACCATTCAGATCCCCGAATAAAAAGTTTATAAAATCGCTCTAATGAAATTAAAATAGAGTCATTTTATAAAAAAAGAGGCTTGGCTCTAATGATGTTTACACAGCTAATTAGTTCGCTTTTGATGCTGTGGATAGTTTTCTTAGACCAATCTATGGAACAAATTCAAAAAAAAAACACAGAGGTAAGTTTTATTTTTATTTTTACATAGGCACATAATATATGCAAGGTTTTATAATGATTTAGAATCTACGAATAGGTATTTACAAAATAATCTACAAAGTTATTTCTGATCTGCAGAGCAGACTCAGAAGATCGTCTAGCTGGCGTATTAAGCGACCTTATAGCACTAGTATTTAGATCTATCTCTTCTCTCCATCTCCGCGGTATTATTATGTATCCTCCATTTTAAATACTGTCCAAAAATTCTGATGTAGGATATACATTATTTGTGGAAACATTACTATTCCTTGAAAAAATATGTAGTAAACCACATGACATCACGACTATAGATGCGATTCTTGGCTGCATTGGCATGCTCTAACATATTAAAAATTTCTACTTAAGATAACAGTATGATAAAATTTCTTTTTGTGTTACCTTCTGCATGTTCTCCAGTATAGGGTTTCATAAAATTTTCGTGAAGAGGGAACGCATTATCTGCGACAAAAACATGACATTTCTACATTATTTCTCCCAGAAATTAGTGCAGGTTGTGGTAGATTTAGATTATTTGTGATAAGTTTTTGATACAAAACGGTATCTCGTGAAAACTCCACCATCACTGACTGACTCTTCCTTTTTTTTCCATTGTTACAAAACATGAAACAAGATTCTATTTACTGCTGCTATTAGTACAATATTGAATGAGTGTTTATAGTTAAAATAGTCAGGGCCACATGTTTATCATTTATACTGCTGACGCAATGAGGAAATATATCTCGGAATTGGGCTTTCTTTTGTAACCATTCACTTTTACTGACAGGAATCTGAAACAAAATTTACATTAAATAATTATTTTACTTAATCTGTTATAGGCCACTTCTATAGAAAATATTACTAAAGGAGAGGAAAAATACCTTCTGAAGAGGCAGTTAAAAATAAATCAAACAATAAAATTGAATCCGAATATATGATAAAAAATTGTAACATTCAAGTAACTTCAAATTCAATATCAAAAAAATTAAACTCCTGAAGTCGTTAACGCTGAAAAGCAAATGAATGAAGCCATAGGTGGTTTAAAAGCAATATCAAGTACAAAAACCCTTGATAAGTGGGTAGAAGTCAAAATAATCGACCGCAACTCACATGAAGTCCGGGTAGTAACGTTACTCACCTGATAAGAAAATGTTACTCACAGGAATAATAGGATGCTTTCACATTGAAACAACAAATAGGTACATATTTTTATTTATTGTTAGACTGACACAACTGCTAACATCAATAAATGTATTTTTAACAAGTTCACCACCGAAAACATGCTTTAAAAACTACAACCTACACAAAACAATTACTTTGGCGGTGAAAATAACAAAACAAAAAAAAGGAACTTTATTACTTAAAAAGGAACTTTAATATATTTATTACAACTGGTAACTTGAGTGATAATTATGTAATTCTTTAATCAAAATATATATAATCATCGTCGTCAAGAAATACAAAATCAGTCTCATTTTCATTGATCGACATTAATTCTACAGTCTTTACAATATTCTTATAATCTATTAGCTCCACTTCCATTGACTTTGTCTTAATAAATTTTGTATTGTCATGTTTGCCAACTTTTCTTAAAAAAAGATATTTTTACCTTGTCATTGAAAGGTTTTTCCAAAACTGTGCCTACAAAATATTCCACTCTTTTTTTTAAAAGTGTCTTACCAATACATAATCGTATTTTTTTATATCAATGGGAACAATTTCTAAGTTGGAACTTGAAGAGGGCTGATGCAACATAGTATCTGGGATAAGGCAAGTTTTAGTCTTTTCAATTTTAACTTTTACATTTTTTTTGCAGCCTTTAGATTTTGATTTATTAATATTAAAATCTGTATCTTGCATATCCAGGCTATCTGATTCAGAAGCAACGTCGCAAATGTCTGAATCACTGTGGACACTCATAGCGATGTCACTATTGCTTGATTCATCTTCTTTTTTTCTTTTTAACTTCTTTTTATCTTTTCTTTTAATCTCTTTTCTCGTTTTTCGTTTAAGCCGGTCATAGTTTTTAGTGTTAAGTGATGATAAGTTTTCTTTATTTTCATTATTGGTAACAATTTTTGGGGTACATTTTGAGGGCGGAATTATAACTTGCGATATAATCTTGGGTTTTTGTTTTACATTCGTCAAGACGTTAGTGTTAATATTAAGTGAATTCTGATTTTTTGCCATCAATACAATTTTTGTTCCAGCAGTTTCCCGAATGATGCAACTACTTGCTTTTGTTTTCGATTGAAAAATTCCACCTTCGTCATGTATAACGTCAATGTCATTGGTTGATATTCGATGTGAAACCACGGGAATTTCTGGCAGCACTGCTCCGCATTCAT